ACGTACATATCACATATTGTATGAGATATCAGAACATTTGCCACCACACTAACAAACAACCCTAAATTCCAAGATGGCGCCATGGATGGCGGTGTTCTTGTTAAATAACTTTGGGTTGTGTTCGGGTGCCTAGAGTTCCTTTACCAGGGAAGAGCTTAACTTAACTTCTGGAAAACAACGGCAGTTGATTTATTTCCAACATTTCCAGCTACATGAGTGGAAATACTGGATGTTCTGGCCGAAGGTGCGCTCATCTTTGAAGAGAGGTAAATGCTCATCAGACGTCAAAGCAGTGAACCAGCGAGGCTGTGGAGGACCTACAGGCGTGTTTGGACTGGACTGACTGGGATGTGTTCAGGACTGGACTGGACTGACTGGGATGTGTTCAGGACTGCTACCAGCTGCCTGGATCAGTACACGGAGGCTGTGACGTCCTACATCAGCTTCGGTGAGGACTGCTGTGGACCATCACACACCAGGGTGAGTTAAAACAACAACAAACTTTGGTCCACAGCTGAACTCAGACAGTAAAGGTTGGAGAAGGAGGAGGCCTTTCGGGGGTGGAGACAGAGGCAGGTTTAAAGAACTGAACTAAAGATTTAGCAAGGCGGTGAGGGAGGCTAAACCACTGCACTTTCAGAAGCTTCAACACCATTTCTCAGCCAACGGCGCTGCCTCCATCTGGATGGGGCTCAAATAGATCACCAGCTACAAACCAACAGCCCCTCACTCCATTAACCACCTGCACCAGGCCAACGATCTGAACAAGTTCTACTGTGGCTTGGAAAGACAATGGGACAGTCCTGAACCCATCGTCAACCATCATCTCCACCTCATTAGGAATTTGGACCCCTCCACAACACCACAGCCCAGACCCCTGTCCTCCACCACCACAGACTCCTCCCACCGTCCTACAGACAGACGTCAACAGAGACAGAACCGTCACAAAGCATCCGGGCCGGATTCTGTGTCTCCATCCACCTTGAAGCGCTGACCAGCTGTTTTCAGTGTTCACTGATATTTTCAACACCTCACTGGAGATGTGCCACAGACCAGTCTGCTTCAAGACCTCCNATGATGGATGATCAGTCCCCAGCTGTTCACTATTTTAATGTTTGCTTTCAGTTTTTATTCTCTTGTCATTTGAAGCTTCTGTTTCCATCACAGTGACTAACTTTGTGCTTGTACTTGGCCAACAGTATTGCAGTACTCTGACCTAAATGTAATCGATTACTTTGTCCTGCTTGTCAGTATACCGAGGATCAGGGTCGCAGTCTGGGACTGAGTGGTTGGGTGAAGAACACCAGACAAGGGACTGTGATTGGTCAAATCCAGGGACCTCCAGACAAAGTCAATGACATGTGAGTCTACACCGGCCAATCAGAGGTTGACCTCCACACACCGGGGAGATGATGCTGATTGGTCGATTCAGAGTTCAAACGTTAAAGGTTTGTTTATGTCCAGATGTTTGACTCCTTGTGTTTTTCAGGAAGCTCTGGCTGAAGAGTGTTGGCAGTCCAAGTTCTCGAATCGACAGAACCGTCTTCTCCAACGAGAGAGACATTACCAAACTGGAGATCCGCGGCTTCTCTACTCGCTACTGAGCATGCTCAGACACCTCTGAGGTTACATTATGGATGAGCTGTAGCTGATGACGTGCTTCAGCTCTTCACTGGTTACAGATTTGGACAGAAATGTTCCCGATAATTGATTATTGAAGCCATTTATCAGTGACTCTGCTGTTTGTTTCTGTTTTCCTGCTGTCTGCTGACGAGCGTCTATATTTCGAGCTTCAGTGAGCCCAGAGCCACAACAAGAGTCAGAACCGGTTTCAGACCCAGTGTGTCACAGGGTAGAAAGGTAGTCCAGGCCCAGCATGCATGAAACAAGTCAGCTGTAGACCGAGGCAAGGTTGCAGATGTTCAGATGAAGGGTTCCATGATGTTTAGTTTCAGCATCCACATTCTGATGTAACACAAATTAAACTCGACAGGCAGCAAAAGAAAACTCTCACGGATCTCGTTTCATACGACTGATCTGTTTGGCCGAGGTTTCCCCCGACAGTTTGGTGACATACAGGCTCCACAGAATGATGTTCCTGTTCAACTCAAGCATAACATTGTAGGAACGTTATGTAGTTTTGTCATAAATGTTTGTACGTGAGGTGGCCAGTTTGAAAAAGACACGAAATCCTTGCTGAGATGAAGATTTCTCCCAGAAGACCAGAGTTTGTGTCCTGTGATGAAGGACAGACCCTCACCTTCAGCGAGGTTTGGAAAACCACCAGCTCTGTCCTCAAATATGTCATGGTTAAGCCATGGCTCTCTCACTGCATGTTTCTGGGTTACCATGGTGACATGTCCCATCTGACATGTGATTGGTTGACTGAAAAAGGAGCGACAGTGAAGAAGCAAAATAAATGGAAAAGATACGTTGATTAGAAACGCATTTGTGACATGTTACAAACGTAATCCAGCAAAATATGTTTCTTCAACATGTCAGTGAGATGCCGTTTAGTTGTAAGGGAAGGAAACGTGTTGTCCCATGAGCAGCAGCATTAGCAG